TATTTTCTTTTGAAATTGTCTTTATATGTGTCATTAAGAAAATAAGAATTATGATATCATTCAGTTTTATTACATATCAGACTTGTCACTAAGTGATTTCTAGATATATTTCTATATCAGATATACTTTCAAAATATAAAGATTTGTTTCTTTGAGGGTATCCAAAATAATGTGCTATAAATCTCAAGGCAATTCTAAAATAGTAGTTTTGAAAGTAATTTGAAGAGTGACCCCGTTACAGTAAGTAGGTTAGCTGCCCAAAGTGACTGCTTTGAAAGGGATGCTGCGGCTTACAATATGTGTTAAACCGTTTTGTCTGTGTGTGTTAAACAGACTATTTGTAACAATTCTTAGTAATATTTTACGTATCTGAAGAATTCAAGAATTGGGCTTAATTAGACTTCCATTTTATGCTGGCAAAAATGACATAGCTACACATTATGACTAAATTGGAATAAAAGTATAATAATAAAATTAGCACTTTGGCAAAAATAACTTTTACTAACTGGGTGAACTGGAACACAACTATAATGCTAGCACTTGGGAGGCTGAGGCAAGAGTGTTGCTATAAGGTCAAGGCCAGCCTGGGCTACAAAGTGAGTTCGAGATCAGATTGAACTGCATACTGAAATCTTGTCTCAAAAAGACAAAAATAAATAAAAAACTTTGACTATAACAAATGTAATAATATGTAAATAAAGATATAAATCCTAGGACAAGGAGATAGCTCAGTAGCAAAAGTGCCTGCCTGCCAGGTGCAAGGCCCCCGAATTCAATCCCCACTACCGAAAAAGAAAAAAGAAATAAATCCTGATAAGTTTGTTGTTTTATCTTGAGAAACAAAAGAATCATAGCTGTTTATGGATAACTAACTAAATATTTCAAATTATCAAAAGAAAAAAGAATATCAATTTTTTAAAAAATGATAAGTTGAATGAAAATGAAGATTCTGACTTTTTAGAGGTCTAACCCACTAAAAATAATATAATACTTATTAAAATTATATATTGAAGTTCACTTGACAAGTATTTTTAAAAAACAAAGAAAGAGGCTTTCTGAGAAATTCTGCAGTGTTTTTACTTGTATTGGTAAATTTGATGAACACTTGAGTTCATCTTGTGTCTGGTAACCAAGGTCCTTCAGGATATATCTGCAGCCTAATTTTCTGCCCTTCCCTCACATTATTCTCCTATATGTTCTGCATTCTGTTAAAAGCTGAATACTGTGCCATGCCGGCTTCACCCCTTGGGCACAATGAGATGGCGACTAAGACTGGGTGTGGTGGCACACGCCTAGCATACCAGGAAAACAGGAGAATCACTAGCAATCCGATCTACATAATGAGATCCCGTAGACCCTGTACCAATACATGAAAAAAAAAAGCTGAATACTTGTTAAACAGAGCCTATGTTTTCCTGCTTTTGTATCTTGGAGTATATTATTGTTTGCTCAGACTATTTGGGTAGTACAAAAATTAAGATTCTGGAGCCACCTTTACTATATTTGAATGTGACATTACCATTTAAATAGGCCAAGAATAAATTTAAGGAAAATTCAAGTAAGAGTTTTAAGGAAAATCAGATGCATTGCTAAATCTTTTATTTCAGATTTGGTTATTTATAAAATAAATTCTCTGGGCCCTGTGTTTTTCTTCCTCACATTATCTTTTATTAAACCAATGCCAATGGTAGAATTTCCCAGGAAGAGATTTTGTTTTTTATTATTTTTCCCTTATCAATCTGAGCCCCTAGGTTCTTCATAAAATTTAGCTGGAGCCTCTATCTTGGTAGTTGCCAAAACTAGCTCTCCAGAACCTGATCATTACCAAAACAATGGAGTCCTTTAGAGACCCCCAAAAGGTTCAATTAGCATGTTTCCAGGCCCAGGGCACTAAAGCAATATCAGTAACCTTGCAGTCAAGTCAGACTCTGGCTGGGACCATGGTTTCCATTTTGTTTGTCTTCACCAATAGTGTCAATATGAATGGCTCTTTGACTTTAACTAATTAGAGAATACTAATTAAGATAAATAGAATTTAATTAAATGAAATTAGTGAAAATGCTGACTTATAGATTATTCAAAAAATAAGTCATATTTCATTAATTAGAGTACATAGTAAATAAAATCAAGGTACTAAAGAATCAACAAACATTACCTTTTTGGTAAAGTAAAAAGATTAAAATGATATCTCCAAGTAAAATTCTGACCATTTATAGCTGAATTATTTCACAGTATTCAAAATCTACTTGGTGTCTAAATATTTGACATTTCTTCAAAAGCTTTATATGGTGCCTTATTCAGCAATTCTTGCATTAAAATTATTTTAAAGACACGAAATTAAATATTATCTATGCTTATTTTTGAATTAAAATATAATATATGGTACAGGCTAAATTTTAAGGTTTTTTAAAGTGGTGGTGGGAATGGGCCCACAGCCTCATATGCCATTGAAATCTTTTAGGGCCGATAAAATAGCTCAGTGGACTAAGTGCCTGCTTAGGCAAGAGCAGGGACCGGGGTTTGATCCTCAGCACCACATATGGCACTGGCCCCGCCCCTGGGTGCACTGAGTCCACCACTGAGTCTGGGCATGTTGGCACAAGCCTGTAATACCATTGCTGGGGAATCTGAAAACAGGAAGATCACTACGAGCCCAAGCTGCATAGTGAGACCCAGCAATGTGCCGGGCAAGCACAATGCTGCTGAGCCATTTTCCCAGCCTTTAAAATATATTTAATGGAAAATTTTTTTCCCTATATTTTAGGCAAGAGTCTACAGGGTGTTCATGGTCTCACTACTAGATCGGACTCATAGTGATTCTCCTGTTTACAGCCTCCCGAGTGGATTACAGGCACGTACCACCACACCCAGTCTCAATCGCTGTCTCAGTGCGCCCCAGGTATCAAACCTTGGCCTCTGCACCTGCTTGCAGGCGCTTTAATCTGCTGAGATATTTGGCAGACCCTTAACGGAAATTATTTAATGAAAGTATCTGGATTTTTTTTGAGGCAAATTCTGTTATAAACCTCAGGCTGTACCTGAACTCACTAAGTAACCCACACTGGCAGCCTTGGCCTCCTAGGTGCTAGGATTACAGGTGTAGTCCACTGCCCCTGGTGAGCCACATTTGATTTAATATTACTTCTGCCTATCCTTTATTTTATTCATGGATTCATAAGCAATCTTTACCGTCCCAATCATGCTTTGAAAAGTGAGGTATTGTTTTGTTTTTTAAAGATCTCATATTGTTCAGATTGACTTTGAACTCCTAGGCTCAAGATCAAGTAAGCCTAGTGCCTCAGCCTACCAATTGCTGGGAGTACAAACATCCACTACATCCAACTATATACTGCTAGAAAAGTCAGTTTATATGGAGACAAACATCATTAATTTCTACAGAACTTTCCTGTGTTATTAAAAGCTACACATGAGCCAGCTGTGGAGGCCCATGTCTTTAACCCCAGAACTCAAGGTCTGAGGCAGGAGGATTTCTCCAAATTAGAGGGCAGCCTGTGCTACCTAGTAGCTTCAAGTCCACCCTGATTACATGGCAAGATCCTGTCTCACAAAAACGAAAACAAAAACAAAAACTAAACAAAAATCCTCAAAAGCTATATAGCACATTTCAGGCAAAATACACATTTGTCAGTGCTTTCCTGTCTCAGTCTCATATTTTATGTGTCCCTAAAAACGTGGTTGAAAAAAAAACCATGGTTGAGGTAGCAACTTTTCTTTTAGCACCTTTGCAATTTTCTCAAGTCAACTTTAGTCTGTGTTCTAAGTGTATATCACAACAGGGACCTCTTGGAGAAATGTTTCCTACCTCTATGATCAAACCAGTTTCCTCCACCCTTTATTCAGATTTTTTTTTTATCCCAGTTCCCCGTTCTTGAAAGGTATAGTCAAATGAGTTACATTTGATTCTTTTTTTTTTTCCGGAACCAGGGATTGAACTCAGGCCCTTGCACTTGCCAGGGAAGCGCTTATTCCACTGAGCCATCTCCCCAGCCTGGTATAGTCAAATGAAATAGAGTATTTAAGGCTCCAAACAAGCTCCTGATGAGGCACCTGTACACAAAAGTTTTGTTTTTGTTTTGAGAAAAATCTTGGTATGTCACTAAATTCCCAAGGTTAGGCTTGAACTTGAAGTAGTTTGCCTCAGTCTTTCAGGATGATGGGGTTATATGCATCTACCACAAAACTGGACTGTGCTGGAACTCTCAGGCTACAGGACATCGTTCACGTAGTATGAGGCACAGGCCATTTTTTATTTGTTTGTTTGTTTGTTTAACCACTGTTAGGTCCTCCCACTATATATCCTAACCAGATCAGGATAAATCATGCCAATATATGCAGAAGGTACCAAGTTGGGGCAGTTAGATTTCCCTATAAGGAAACATGGTTCACATTCTCAGGCTGGTCATCTTTAATGGGAAAGAAACGGTTAAAGTGTGTGTGAGAATTCAGGCTGCTTGGCTATCTTTAGTACAGTCCATCGGCACCCATTCCTGGTAACTACCCCATGTCTCACTCACATCCTGAGAGAGTGAGTTTTTTTTAAAGCAGCACCCTGAGAGACTGAGGGAAATGTTCGTCTCTACTTGGTGTTCGCCTCTACTTGTGGGTTTTGGCGGTACCTCTCAGGGTCTAAGTACAAGTTCTCCCCAGTTTTTTTTCTAACAAACACGGAATTCCCTTCTCTCCCCCTCCTAAGGTTTGGGTTTCCTCACCTTGGTGGGCAGTTCTCCGATCTCTAGGTAGGCTCGGAAAGAGGACTGAGGAGAACCCTGCGTCTCTCTGTCGCCTGGGTAACAACTTTGTTACCCCCCCACCCACCCCCACCTCTGGGTTCCCGCTTGACTTTCCTAGCCAATCATAGAAAAGTTTGCTTTGGAACGCTTTCCGTATCAACCAATCCGGATGCGTCCGGGCCAGGGTCAATGGCTGCCCCTTCTAGTTAAGTGGGTTTACCTCATTCAAACCTCAGTCCTGTTCGCTTCTCTCCAGCTGAGAGACCACTTCTTTCAGGCTCCGGCAAGTCTGCCGGCCTCTTTGTTTACTGCGCAGTCCCAGGAGCCTACCTATTTACTCTGTAAACCACACAGCGGTAAGTTTACCTGCAGGTTTTAAAAAATTTATTATTTATTTTAATTCCCGGTTGTTGGCAGGCTTCACTCTCCGTTATGCTTTTTCCGTAGTGAATTCCACATCTGACTCCTTCAGACGTGGAGCGGTAGAGAGTGGAGACGTAGGATCGAGTGGCTAGGGCTCGATTTGTGTTGCTCTGCGGTCTCTCTTCAATCTTGCGCCCCGGGACGGAGACGAGCGATTTTTTTTCGTGTGTGTGTGTGTGTGTGTGTGTGTGTCTGTGTATGTGTCTGTCTGTCTGTCTGTGTCTGTCTGTGTCTGTGTCTGTGTCTGTGTCTGTGTCTGTGTCTGTGTCTGTGTGTCTGTGTACAGAGGGATCCTGCTTTTCATTTTTTGTTTGGCAAGCCTTTCTGGCCAGAGGCCCCAAGAAAGCGCCTGGCTGGCTACCTGGAGCTACGCGGCTCCTAATCCTGGGAGAATCACCAGATGAGGCGCCTGGCTTTTCCCGCCTTAGAGTGAAGAACTGCAGGCGCGGCGTCTACGGCTTGCCGCTGCTTGGGAATTTGTGTCTTCACACACGGATGGAATTGTGACCTTAGTTTTCTATGAATTACGTGATTTGGTTTTAAACAAAGAGGAGGGAAGGAGCAATAATTATGTGGAGTATGTGGGACAGGAAAGAGGATGGTTTTAATAGTTATTTTCAGTTATATAGGGATTGAATTCTATTACAAATACACAAATTTGCTTTCCTTTTCACTACAATAGTTTTCTTAACTTCCCTCTCATCTGGCAGAAGCAATAATGAATTTGTTAGTATCCGCAGTAAACAAGCAATGAGGATAGAATATTTACATTATAGGCTAAAATTATTAGCTTTTTGACCAAATAACCTGTACCATAATTCTCTTTACTGTTGATGATCTCAGTGAAAGTGTGTTGCATTTTGTTGTTTTTATTCTTGTCGCTGTGCATTATTCTGTCTGTAAATGCCCAGCCGGTGTTTTGTAGACCTTTCAGCAGTGATTAACAGGAGAAATAAATTTTATATTATGATGCCAGTACACACATATATAATATATAACTGACAAGTGTTTTGAAAAATATTTTTACTACCTACAATGTACTATAACAATATTATATTTAAAATATGTGGACCACAACCCAATAATGAATTCTCATCCACAGTTTGAAAGGCTTTGCCATTAGACCTCTGGTTTTCAAACTTTTTTATGTATTAAGTAATTCATGAAAAATACAGATCGCCATGACTTACTCAACAAATTAGTTCTGAAGGGGGGGTGTGGGTGTCTGTGATGGCAGAGAGAAAGATGTGTGACAACTGTATCACCTGTAACAAATGCTTTCTGTAGTGTCCTTGCATGAATGTTCAATAAATTTTAGTTTTGTTCTTGTCAGACAAATAGTACTTGTTTTTAAGGCTATAATCTCTTCTTCAGTGTTTGGTCTGCCCTGCAAGCCTGTTTTTCCCCAGGTTGAGCAGGTAGGAAGGTAGAGCGCAGGTTCGGAATCTTAGGTGAATATTTAAGTACGTGTCTTTGATGGAGAATGTCCTCAATATGGAAATTTAGAGGTTGACTTATAGAGGATTATGCTGTCATTGAGTGGATGTCAGAGAGTAGAACTCACTTGAGTAAGGCTAATGTTCTTGTCCATTTTGTCTTGATAGCAGATTATATGTAGTGGCAGATGTTGAAATAAGGAGACCTTCCCTGACTTGTTACTTATACTTTATCATAATAAAAATACAAACAAGCAATGTACTTATTTTTAAGAATTGTATACTTAATTGCCTTATTTTTTTGAAGATCAAGGCCTTGAAAAAATAATGAAATATTATTTGAAAGAAAAAGTCTTTATATTAACCAGGTCTGTTTTTCCTTGTAAGATAATAATAGTTTGTGAGATCTTTAAGTGACAGCTTGGCTTACTTGTATACATGTCAAAGGATTTTATACATATCTTCTGTAAGACTTCTCCTGGTTTTTGTAAATTAATTAACTATTTTTGCTCTACTTCATCAAAGTTTTGGGCATAGTTCTTCTAAACATGAGTATTCCTTTGAAGCTATTTTTTGTATCTGTATGCCTGGAGTTGTTATCCTCACCTCCAAGAGCTCTCTTGAGTCTTTTGCTTTCCTTCACTTGTGTCTCACCCTGGTCTTTCCTTTTCAAATTTTCTAACTGCTAGCATCATTCACTAAAAGTGAGACCTGCTCGAAAGCAATTTAGTCTTGTGAAATATCACACTCCTTTTCATTGTGCTGGAATGGAATTCAGGGCTCACACATACTAGGCAAACATTCTACCATTGAATTATACAGTACAGCTCCACATTTAGAGAATTGATTTCAGTTTTGGGATTCAGGAATCCTTTTTATAGTTCTTTTTTTATGTATTTAATACAAGGTCTTCAGAGTCTCACTATGTAGATTGGGCTTGTAGTGATCTTCCTGTTTTCAAGACTGTCAAGTGCTGGGATTAAAGGCACGCACCACCACGCCCAGTCTCATTCACTATCTCAGCACACCCCAGGGTAGGGGCTGGCACAGCAAGGCATGCCAGGGATCAAACCTGGCCACTCTGCTCTGCCTAAGGTGCTCTAATCTGCTGAGCTATCAGGTTAGCCCAAACAAGAATAGCTATTTTTTTCTGGTGGTACTGGGGATTAAACTTGAGACCCTGCGTTTGCCAGGCAAGCGCTTATGCTGCTGAGCTCTCTCCAGCCCACTTTTTGTAGTTCTTAAGGTCAGATTCTGACTTTATACCTTTAAGAGCAGTTATAGTATGAAGGAGGGAAAAAATTAATGTAAAAGATAATCATTACATTATTAGCGCTTTAGGTGTTTAATACTGAACTCAAAATGTTATGCCATTTTCAGAAACCCTCAATTTTATTTTGGTATCAAATAAAATGATCATCATATATGTTTGATTTTTTTCATGTTTCATTCAAAATCCTTGTGTAAAATCAGACACACATGTTTAAATATTGCATTGTTTCTCTTGTGTGAGAAATCTAAAAAGCAAATAAGCAGAATAATGAAGGATAGATATTGAGATGTAGGGAGAATGTATTCAAATGGGAAGGGAAATAAAGGAGGGGGGGAAAGTAAGGGAAAATGAAAAAGAAAAAGAATAGAAAATAAAAATGGAAAGGCTGAGGAGACAGCTCAGTGGCATAAAAGCCTGCCTGGAAAGTGAAATGTACTGAGTTCAATCCCCAGTACCAAACAGAAAAAAAAAAAAAAAGAATTCAACCCAGGCCCTAACGGCAGATTTCTCTTCACAAACCATCAAGTCAAGAAGAGCATGGAGCAAAGTACTTTAAGTCTGGCAAGAAAACAAATTCCAACCCAGACTGATATACCCTGTGAAACTCTCTTTCAAGTATAATGAAGAAGTGAAATACTTCCATGACAAAGAACAACTAAAGAATTTCATGACAACAAAGCCAACCTTACACAGACTGCTAAATGATATTCAAGAGAGGGATCAAAATAACCACAACTCCATAAATGATAATGGAAAGAACCCACCAAATAGGGCAAACAATTAAACATAGGAGAAAAAGAGGTATACAACAGCAGTCTTTCAATTATTCTTTTGTATACAGCAGAAAAATATTTCCATCAGCATACTCTACAAATGGACTTCTCCTGCACCCTATGGGTCATGATTCTATCTAGTTCTACAGGGTGGTTATCAAGGAAATAGCAGTAGCTCAGTCCCACAAGTGACACCTGGCCATCAGTCAGCGTCATGGACACTGTCCATGTCCACCACATACTAGAACTTTATGCACTATCCTATCCCCAGACTGTTAGAAGTGCTGGTCATATATTTGCCATTTGGGTATTTATCTTATGTTTTATTCTTAGTAATTCTTTACTATCATGAAAACTTTTTCTTAGTTCAATTGTTCTGAAATATTTAATTTTTAATTAATTTTCTGAATTTTATTTAATCTTAATTTTTGTTTTAAGATTTATACTGTATCTTTGACTTACAATCTACTTCAAAGACATAGTATGATATTTTCTTCTAGTATTAGAAACTTTAAAAAGTATATTAACATTTTCCATTGACTATATTACTTCTTCCTTGTCTTTTCCACACGTGCGCGCACACATGCACACACACACACGAAAAAAATATGTATGTAACCCAACCTAAGATTGATATTGTTTTGTGGAAATCTTAAATGATCTTTTAAATGGGTTCATCTGATATATTTTAAATAGTCCTGCATAATTATCATTTTCAGAGCTCTATTCTTTATTCAGGACCATACAGCAACTTCTCTTGCCTTCTGGATTATGCTCTTTGTTATTTCCTACATGCTGTCTGGTGATATTAGAGTATTTTGAGTTTGTATAACTGGAAAATATTTTACTTCTAGTTTTCCTTTTTTTGTGGAACCGGGCATTGAACTAAGCCCTTGCACTTACCAGGCAAGCACTTATTCTACTGAGCCAACTCCCTGGCCCCTTAATTTTCAAAGTTATGTTTGCTAAGTATAAAATTCAATGAGTACAGATTTTTTTTTTCTTACAGTACTTTGAATTAATTAGTCTAGTTTCTTACATACTTGGTCTTTTTTTTCTTTGTAATGTGAAATAAGATGGTATTTAATTTTGTTCTTCCATCGTTAATTTTTTATGTATATGCTTTAATGATTTTTTTCTTTACAATAAGTTTTGGACTATTTCATTATTGTGTCCCTTGGTATGGTTTTATTCAAATTTCTTGTGCAAAGGTTCTTTTTTCTTGGAAATGTGGAGCTATAATTTCAACTAAATTCAGAAATTTTAAAACTTTAAATATTTATTGCCTACCCCTTTATAAATTGAGAATTCTGATTATATGAATATAAGTTCCTTGATTTTGGCACACAGGGAACTATTATATGACTGATTTGCAAATTCTTTCTTCTTCATTTTTTTTTTGCTCCAAATGCCTTCAGGGCAGGTTTGCCTGGCCTGAGTTGTGGGGATCA